GGAACGGTATGATCACCGCTTCATTGTCACCAATCCCTGGCAGCTTGGGACGATGGCTTTCAGATAGCGTTTCACTTAAAAACATTGGAATATAACCATGTAAGTGTGTTGAGGAAAATTTGATAAATGTTGAAATTATGAAAACTTCAATATTTCAAATCACACAATGCAATAAAAAAAAAGTCTACCACTATCCCGTACAAATGACTGTGAGGATAAATGGCCTTTCATTGAACCGATTTCCTTGTATGCAATAACGAGTAGCAGAAGTATCTGAATAATAATAATAATAATAAACATAAAAAATCTCTCCCTGTGAATATCTATTAAGCGGGTTATTCCTTAGGAACACATCCATCTTCCCAGGGAAGGGCACTGGGCCATCTGTTTACTGTGGGTTATTTTTGCGGCTCTGGGGTCCAAAAGAAAAGGAGTAACAGGAGTGCTGCTAGGAGAAGGTGAAATGTGCTGGGCAGTTTCAGTGCTCTGAGGGAACTGTACTTCAGCAAGCCACACAACACATGGAACATCACAACGCAAACAGGCACAACCCACTGCCAGGCACAGTGCAGTGAAAGAAGAGATGCCTTCTAGCTGACAGAGGGCCGGAGAGTCCCCACTTTGTATCTCAATGCCAAACACCCACTTACTGTGGTGAAGGACTGCTTAATCGGGCAGGGCTGTTACTAACTTAAAAACCTTCACTTCAGTATTCATTCCTGTTTGTTCTCTTTTACAAAACTCTGAAGAGAGGTAATCAAGGATTGTTGGGCCTAACACTCAGTAGGATGGGTACAAACCAAGGGCTTTGAACCAGTTTGTACTGGTTCGGTCCTGGCCTGTGTAGCAAAATTAGAATGGACCCGAATTTGTCAAGTGTGGGCCTACTAGGGTGATAGCCAAATGAGGAACAGTTACAGGTAGAAGCCCAGGAATGTGAGCTCTGAGGCCTAGTGCACCCTTTTAGGCCAGCTCTGGGGTGAGCCACACACACGCAGAGTGGAGTGGCCCGCAGTCATCTCTGAGTGAGACACTGCTAGCTGATCTGGCTGCTGTACCACACGCACGGTGCCCTGGAGACTAAGTTTCTAGCAGGGCACCGACTTGCAATTGTTTCCCATACTGGTTAATGTTCTGGTTCACCCACATTTTACCAGTTCTGATCTGTTCTGGTTTTACTTAGTTGGCTATGACTGAACTGGGAAGAACTGGTTTGAGGCCCTGCTCAAGTAGATCATTTCATTGTCTGTTCTCAACATGATGAGGGAGGAGGGGGCCGCTGGAACAGACTCTGATGGGGGAAAGGCAGCAGCAGGTAAGGTAAAAACAGTAACAAGGGAGAACCAAACTGCTAATACCGCAATGTTTCTCTAACACATCGTGAAGCATTGTAAACACCCAGGTGGGTCAGCCAAGCTCAATAGTGATGACAGGGGAGAATCCTACCACAAAGCACACCTACTCCCCGAGGGTCTGATATAAAGTAACAGGTGGTGCAAATACACAGCATGCTCTCCTTTGAAAAGCAATGCTTACGTCCGCAGGTAGTTAGGGAACCGGAAGAGGGGCTCTAAGATCATCTGCAAAGTTTTAGACATTGATGCTTCCCAGAAATTGACAGAATTCTCTTTAGAAAGTATTTGTAGATGATAAAGTAGGTTGAAAAAATGATGGCTTTAAAATAATCAACTCTTTTAAACTGTTTACCATGTCTCAAATTGCGTTCCCTGCCAATGCCTCTAAGAGGTTTAGCAGCTCTGTGGTGCTCTCCCATGATGTGATCTGATGTGATAAAACAATAAAAGGGTTAAGGGTGAGATTGTTATTAAGTGCTGTCCGGTGATTCTGACGCATAGCACCCCTGTTTCCGAGGAGCAGTTGGAGGATTTGAATTGCTGATCTTGAGGTTAGTAGTCCAGTGCTTACCCTACAGAGCCACACCAGGACTCTCTTAATCCCACCAGGACCCTGACTATGCTGGAGATTCTGAGGGTGTGACATGCAATAACTTTGATCTTATACAAGAGACAAGAGACAAGGAGAGAGACTTGGACAGAAAGAGAGGGACCCACTACCAGCAAGAAGGAAAAGCCGGAATGGAGTGTATCCTTTGGAGCTGGGTGCCTGTCCTGCAAAGCTCCTAGATTCAGGAAAAGATGTAGGTGACCACATGGACTCTCCACGGAATGCTGGGATTACAGATGCTGAAAGGAATCAAGGATCTTTCCCCAGAGATGGTACTCTGATTTCAGACTTTTAGCCTTCTAAACTGAGAGAGAATACATTTCTGTTTGTTAAAGGCACCCACTCTTGACACTTCTGTTATATCAGCACTAGATAACTTAAGACAGAATTTGGTACCAGGAGAGTGGGGTGCTGCCCTATCAGATAACTAAAATGTGGAAGTGTTTTTGGAATTGGATAATGAGCTGAGACTGAAAGAGTACTAAACAGCTAATAGTAAAAGCCTAGATTGCCTAAAAGAACTGTATGACAGTTGAGGTTTTGTGTCACCTTGGCTGGACCAGAATCCACAGTGGTTTAGCAGTTAAGATGTAGTTATCACCTCCATGATGAGATCTAATATAATACAATCAAACCCATGATGGGATTTGATGGGATCAGTCTGATCTGATGTAATTACCCTATGAGTTGACAAGGTAACTTGATGAGGTCAGATGCAATCTACAAGATTAGGTTGTATCTGTTGTGAGATATCCAAGAAGGGAGCAGAGCTCAGAGGGACCTACTCCCATCAAGACAGAAGAGCCGGGAGTAGAGTGTGTCCCTGGACCTGGCGTTCCTGCGCTGAGAGGCTCTTGGAACCAGTGGAAGACCGATGCCAAGACACATGGAGCTCTCCAAGGAAGACTGGGCTCACAGATGGTGAAACAAGGCCCTTTCCCTAGAGCTGACAAAGAGAAAGCCTGTCCTTAGAGCCGGCACTCTGAAATGGGGACTTTTAGCCTCCTCTCTGAGAGAGAACACATTTCTGTTTGCTAAAGGCATACACTTTCGGTATTTCTCTTATTGTTGTTGTTGTTAGGTGCCATCGAGTTTCTGTTATCATAGCAGTAAATAACCAAGATACCATTGTTGTTGTTAAGTGCCATTGAGTCACTTCCGACTCATAGTGACCCTGTATAGGGTTTCTGAGGAGCTGCTGGTGGGTTTGAACCACCCACCTTACAGGTGGCAGTGCATTGTTTATTATCCTACAGCACCACACCAAGACTCCATATCTAAGACACTGTTCATTAATAAAAGACAATGCCATATAATTGTTCATAGAGACTTAAGATGCAACTACTTCCATGTATGTATTTAAAGGTCTTTTCCTACCTAAATGAATAGAAGTATTTCAAGCCCCAAGGGATGGCTAATGTTACATGTCAACTTGGCTAGGGCACGATGCTCTGTGGTTGCTGCGGGTGAGTCAGTTCCAGCTCATAGCTACTCTGTCCAGAGTTTCTGAGGGCTGGCTGGTGGGTTTGAACTGCCACCTTGTAGTCCACATCGACCTTGTGGTCTAATGCTTACCCTACAGTGCCACACAGACATTAAGTAATCAGCTTCCACTTTGTGATGTGATGGGAGCAGCCAACTAGTTGGAAGGGGTGTTTCCTTGGGATGTGGCCTGCATCCAATTTATATGGATGCTCTGGCAAAATCTGAGCTCTTTCTTGATCCTACATTTATCTCATCATCCCCTGACATCTAGCTTTTGGGAGGAGTCAGCAGTCTGCCACCTGACTAGAGATTCTGGGTGTACCAGTCCCTGTAACTTTGTGATTCAGAAAAAACCTAGAGCCTACTGCCTGACCCCTGGATTTGGGACTTACCATGCTCTACAACTGTGAGAGACATTTCTCTCGAATAAGTTTCTCTCTCTCTCTCCTATCTCTCTCTCTCTCTCTCTCTCTCTCTATATATATATATATATGTGTGTGTGTGTAAATATCATATATATTTCTACCACTGGTCTGTCAATTTGTCATACAGAGGTGGCTTGTGTGTTGTGTGGCAAATCTGTAAAAGACCTCTTTAAAATGTTAAAGAGCAAAGACGTCAGTTTGAGGACTAAGGTGCACCTGACCCAAGCCATGGTGTTTTTAATCGCCTCAGGGGCGTGTGAAACTTAGCCAATGACTAGAGAAGACTGAAGAAGAATCACGACATATGACTTATGATGTCAGTAAAGAATACTGAAAGTAACACAGACTGCCAGAAGAACAAACCAATCTGTCCTGAAAGAAGTACAGTCAGAATATGCCCTAGAAGCGAGGCTGGCAAGGCTCTGTCTCTCGTTCTTTGACATGCTGTCAGGAGGGTCAGTCCCTGGAGAAGGACACTGGGTCACTGGAAATGGGCCAGACCCACAATGAGAAGGGCTGACACAACAGTAGCAAATGTCACAGCAATTGTGACGGTGGCACAGGACGGGCAGGTGTTTCGTTCTGCTGTAGCTATGGGTTGGAAGTGACTTGACGGAACCTAACACCAACAACTATATATATTTTTATTTATATACTTCACTAGTTTTGCTGCTCTGAGATATCCTCCCCTTGTTGTGACCTTCAGTCATTTCCTCTGAATTTTAATGGTTTATCTCCACTGCGGAGGGGCCGGTGGGGACTGAGGGTCCAAGGCCCATGGCCCCTGAACAAACAGACAAGTAGAGAACATTTCAATATTCCTAATAAAGCCCAAAGATGTGTAGATATTGAGTAAATAATCTCCAACAACACTTGCAATATGTCTGTCTATGCAACATAAAAACACAGACTGAATAAAAACAGGTTACATCAAATGCAGTAAGCTTTCCAGGTCTTACAACACTTCAATAGATTGCACCGGTTCCCAAGATGCAGAAATGCAGTCTGTTTCTCTCTTTCATCCAGCGACCTGGCCCAGGAGAGTGGGGTGAGTCTGCACCTTCCCTGGTGAGAACCTGTAAGGAGAATGGGGAAGACAGGGCGGCCTTGGGAGGCACAGGTTACCTGAGGAACTGTTGACCATGTTGGATGCCATGCTGTAGGGCGGGGCCTGCGTGTTCATCAGTCCCGAGCTGTTGTTCATTGGCTGGCTGTAGGGAGAGCTGGATGTCATCACTCCACTCTGATTCATGCCGGGAAAACTGCCCTGCCTGTGGGGAGAGAAGGTACAGGCATCCGTCTACAGACCGCGCACATTGACCAGCAGCAATGCCCCTGCTCGTCGTTCTAGAACCTTCCTGGATGCAAGGGGCAGACCTTCTACTTCTCCTGTTTGCTGAGAAGAACCTCATTTCCCAGAGAGAGAGGCTGAACTCTATTGCTAGGTAGTTATTTAATACAGGAGTTAAACATCCCAGAATACTTTAAGTTCCACAAATCACATTTTTCATCATGCCGGTGGTCCTGGGGTAGTGTTTTCATGAAGGAACAAAGGAAGAGGGGAGCTTGAAGGAAGAACAGGAATTACAAAAGCAAGCATAGTTCATTTTCTCACGTTTAAGAAGACCTAACTCTTTATTAAACTTTTGTAGCATCCTCCTGTCAAAAGACACAAATCAAGACAGAAGTGACTAATGGGTGCTGTGGAATGCTATCTGACGGTTTTTTTTTTTTTCCCCATGAACCTAAAATTTCTGATATGAGAAGCAGAAAAGAAAGCATTCCCCAAAAGCCACTGAATCACATTACTTAACGTTTTCAAATCAGGTACCCTAAAAACATATAGCCGACTTCCAGATTTGAAATGTTCCTTCCAGGCAGAGTAAGACATCAGAGTTCCACTTACTCAGGGAGGGCTTTTCTGTCAGAGGAGACAGAGGGGAGCCGAGATTCGCAATGTTCCTAAAACCCTACGAGATGCCCTCAAATGCCCTCTCCCAGTTTGTTCGTTCTGAGGGCGGAAGCTCATAAAGTAGCCGTATGTAAGTGTCCAGTTAGCTTTGTCCTCCGTACTGTGAAAGACACACTTCTCCCTGCTCTGGGGAGACGTAAAGGGTAGGTAGGCTTTGATCTGAAGGAGACAGCTGTCACACAATGTCATTTCTGTAACCTCTGGTAATGAGGCTGGGGACGGGAAGGAGACTTAACTACACAGTGGTCTAATTCTCCCCGGGAAAGTCACAAAGCAGAAAGAAAGATAATGACACCGAGGTAAAAACCGTCAAAGACTTTGGTGCTGTTGGGCCGCTTTTCTTATGTAAACAGTATACACCTTTGGAAAACCTCTCAGAGTTTTGGCTAGTGATGTTTTCTCTTAGGGGTTAAGCTAATGCGAGAGGGAACAATCCAGAGCTAGTTGGCTAATATATTTGTTACAGATGATGACACTGTTAAAAGACTGATGTATGACAACAACACCAAAATTGACTTCAACAACAACAAAAAGATGAACAGAAATCATGAAAAAACAAAATAAAAACAATCTACTATTCATTTTGTATCGTTCTATGTTCAGTGGCCTTAAATTTCTGGTATGGAGATCAAGTTCAAATCGAAGTATCAAAGGTCTGCATATTATTTTATTTCGTTTAAGTCAAAATGATTCAGCACCAAAGAACGCTCAACGGTGGCCTGGAAGGAACATTCTTAGAAGGCGGACGGTAATGATGGGAGGGAAGCTCTGGGAAAAATCAGTTACTTCAGCCTTCAGCCTAAGTGTCAGTTCCCCAGTCCTCACAGGGCAACTACAGATTCATGTTACAACACCCACCACATTTGACTAAGACTGATGCTGAGGTCATTCAAGGGCATCAGATTAACCTCTAAGCCATCAAGTTCCTGTAAACGTGCAACGCCGCGGCTAGAAACATGTTCCTGTATGGTGAGTGTCTTGGCACTGACCCAGGCATCCTGGGATCCCTTCTGAGGTGTTTCTGTTCACATAGCAATTTAGCATTTATGAAATGGTTTTACAAGAAAGTAAGAGGCATGTTCGGAGCAGAGAAACCTGAGCCTTAATTAGGACCAGCTTGCTGCCCGCCCGATGCCGCTTCCATGCACCTGCTCTGAGAAGGCGTTTGTGTGCTCACACAGTGCCCAGGCCTGCCCTGCCTCTGGTAGGTGTGCCAGCTCCCCAGGAGGGTTCTGAGCTAACCATGCGGTGGCTCCACAGGCCTTGCATATGATTGCTGATGTTGATAAGTGCCACCGAGTCAGTGTAACTCACAATAGCCCAGTACAGGGTTTCTGAGGAGCACCTGGTGGGTTTGAACTGCTGACCCTGTGGTTAGTGGTCCAGTGTTTATCCTACAGCACCACACCCAGGACTCGGATACAGACTAGGAAAGCCCTACCAGAGAATCGAATGGACAGATTATTTCCATGGTAGGAAAAGGGGCTGCAGTCTCAATTGCCCCCCTTTGAGTTTTGCACAAAGAGTAAGTATCGCAGCTCTGCAGGCACACCATAAGGTGGAAAAGAGAACCAGGGTATCAAACCCACCAGGTCAAAGGATTTGACTCCAAAGGTCCTATTCAGCATTCCCCTATGGTTTTTCCCAAGCCAGTCACCATAAGGTGATGAAGGTGAATATTACTGAGGCTTATCCACTGGCCCTGAACTCATTACAGGCATATAAAACTCAAAGATCCTGGGGTACAGTGGTCTTCAACTGAACCACACCCCCAGCTATGAAAGTCTGCGTATACAACTGGCTGTCAGGGGAGCTCTATTCTGGTCTTCACTCTGCCACTGGCCATACAGTCTGCTGTCTCTGGGGGTCCTGAAGCAAGTCACTTCTGCTCCTGGAGTTTTGGTTTTTACCTCAACACAAGGAGTGGCTGAAATGCCATGCCGGGCATGATTTCTAGACATGTCACCATTAAGTTTTAAAATTCACCATAGAAAGGTATGCAAAATTATGTACTCATATGAATAAAGCCACAGAGGGTTAAGTAACCTGTCTGAAGGCACACAGCTATTAAACAGCAGGATGTGAATTCCCCAAATCTGCTTTCAGTCCAGGATACTACACTTCTTTTCCCATGATCACTCAGACAAAGTACGATGGCTTTGGGCAGTGCTACCCGAGGCACCTGTCTGTATGTCGGAGGCTGAGTACTGACTGGGAGTGAGCTGGGCTCAACATCCTGCTTGGGCTTCCTGGAGGGAAGTAGGCAGAGGAGCGAGCGTGGCCATGGTGGAGGAATAAGAGGCTGGACACCTGCTTCAGGAAGTTTTCCCTGCAGGTAGTGAAGCAGCAGGAAGGGACATCTGAAGCAAGAGATGTCTGAATGAGGAAGAACTATCCTCCAACTTTCCCATCATCAGTGAAAAAATTCTGTTCCTTAATTACTCCTTACAAGCCACTGTGAAGACTATCAAGTAACCGAGCACAACCAAGGTGGGCAGTGGTGCCACCACCATCATCTCCGTCGGCTTTCCAGGCACTCTGGTGCATTTTGGAAGTTGAGACAATTTGCTTTCTGGAAGGAACCTGAGATGGCCAGGTCTCTGCTCAACCCGAGCTCTAAGAGGTTCAGCTTGGCCTGCTGATAGTTTCTGAGAAACCACACACAACACAGGACCACAGCAACCTCCACTGGGGGCCTCAAGGCCGAGTCCCCTTTGCAAGTTGGCAGCTTCCCCCGCTCACTGACCACTAAGCCCCTTTCTGACAATGGTAGTATTTGGAACGCTCCAGATGGCGTCAGGGAGGCAAAGATGTCCACTACCAGCCATTCTCTGTCCACTGCCAGCCATTCTCTTTCTTCAAATAGAAACAGAACAAAAACAAGCAAGGGGGTTCGATAAGATGGGGTAAACATCTGAACCACACAACCTACTGAAATACGTTTGTACCTGGAAAGGCAGGGGACCACCTTGATCTCTGGCTCAGTGAGTCCTGGAGCTATCGCCTCTAAGGGCCCACAGGTGGAGGCGGTTTTTGATACAATTGACTGTTGTCCTGATTCCACATGGCTGTGTCAATGAATAAATGCCCAGCAGCATCCATACTGAGTCCTGGTGTGATGCTGTGGATTCACGCTGGACTGCAAGGTCAGTGTGAACCACAAGGTCGACAGTTCAAACTCACCAGCCACTCCTCAGAAATCCTACACAGGGTCGCTAAGAATTGGAACTGATTACGGCACTTAACAACAACAACTAGCATTCATATTAAAAGTACCATGGACTGCCAAAGAACAAACCAATCTGTGTTAGAAAAAGTACAGCTAGAACGTTCCTTAGAAACCAGGATGGTCAGACTTCGTCTCTCATGCTTCAGACACATTATCAGAAGGGACCAGTCCCTGGAGACGGATATCATGTTTGGTAAAGTGGAGGGTGGGAGAAATAGAGGAAGACCCCCAACGAGATGGATTGGCACAGTGGCAGCAGCAATGGGTTCAAGTGTGGGAACAATTGTGAGGTTGGCACAGGACTGGATGGTAAACACGTTCTGCTGTGCACAGGGTCGCTCTGAGTTGGTACTGACTCAATAGCGCCTAACAACAGCAGTAGCCAGCAGCAGCATCTTGGGTAATTTGGTGAACATTTTAGAAAAATGTTGCAAGCTGACACACTGCTAAGGTGGACACTGGGCATCACAAACCCAAGGACACTGACCACACCACGTCCACAACATGCAGCATATCTCTGTCACATGTCAGAATACGAAGTGGGGTCTGTCACTAACACACTGACCTACAGAACAATAGAAGAGCTAAATACGTCCACATAAAACACCTTCCGTAAGAACGGATCCTATTGTTCAGCTGGGACGAGATGTGTTTAGAATATGCCCTTCCAGGACAAAAACCAGGGCATTAGAACGAGAGTCACTCAGAAGTGGGGTGCGAACGCATTTCCCTAAAGGTTGCCTCATGCCTGCTTCTCAGGCTACACACAAACCGTATTTTATAGATTTCTCTCGAACTCGCTTTGGGGATTTCACAAGCACTACACATTCATCCGTCAACACAGGGCTGGCTTTGGGTAAAATAAAGAAAGAAACAGAAGCAAACATCAATTTTAAAATTACTGTTTGTAAGGGTCCCTGTGTGTGTGTTGAAAGGATTTCGGCTACAATTTGAATGTATCGGCTAAAAAACATTAGCATGAAATCCTATGGAGTAACTCACACATTTCTAAATATCTTGCTTAATTTTAAAGTCAAGCACAAGAAATTTGATAACAAAGTGCCTGTATG